CTCCATTGTAGCACCCGTGAGGTTTCGGCGGTCCTGCGGCAATGTTCCATTGAAGCACAGTGAGGTCCGGCGGGTCGGCGATGCTCCATTGCAGCACCCGTGAGGTTCCGATGGCCCTCCGGCGATGCTCCCATTGAGGTTCCGATGGCCTGGCCGCGATGCTCCATTGTAGCACCCGTAAGGTTCCGACGACCCGACCATGCTCCATTGTAGCACCCGTGAGGTTCCAGCGGCCAGACAATGCTCCCGGCGCCCTAGTGATGCTCCATTGCAGCACTCGTGAGGTTCTGACAGCTCGGTGATGCTCCATTGCAGACTCGTGAGCTTCCAGAGGCTCGGCGATGCTCTGGTGGATATGATGCTCCATTGCAGCATCCGAGAGGTTCCTATGATTCACGCAGGTAGTAGAGGCTGTCACTTGCAGCCCACCAGTGCTTTGTCGTCCTAGCATTGCCTGCCGGCCACTGACGCGGCATAGCACAAGACGTCCTTGTAGCACTATCTATGGCTGGCCGACTCGAAGCAACGCCGTTCAAGTTCGGCCCTCCACAACACCATGGAGCAGACGTCCGCGACCTGCCTTATGCTAGCAGCAAGCTAGCAAAACGTACACTAGCGAGTTGTGTGGAAAATAAACAAAGCCAAAAGAATGACGAGAGCATGTTGTGGAGAACTGGAGACCAGCCACGTGGAAAGATGCACGCATGCTTGTGCGCTTTGTACCAGAGCACGACTGAACGAGTTGATCTGATCGAACGGCGCAGCCGGCGGTTTACGGGTCATCAAAATCAATCGGCTGAATATAAACGTTTCCCAAAAAAATTGCAGTAGAATCTGTATCTTTTTTCAATAACCAAATAATAATACTTGTTGACTTACCAAAGAAAAACATGATGCTGTAGGCCTCGGCACACCTCGCGTAGAGATTCTGAAGGATCTTAGAGCATCTACTACAACTAGAGCCTACATATCCCCCCAAACGTCCAGGCGGCTTGCCCAGTCACTATCCGAACAAAAAACAACCATACAATCGGACTTGGCAACTTTGGGTCAAACGTCTGGACTGACCGGCACCACTCATACCCGGCCCATATCCGGGGCGGATATGGGGACACCCGGGCGCGCCCGCCACGCGGCTTCGACAAGCTGACCCATCCCAAATCCTCTCAAAGTTGACTAGTCCATCACTTCAACCACCCTCCTCCCGGCTCCGTCCTCCATTTCCCGCCTCCATGCAGCCGCCCACCCCCTCCCTTGCTCGTCATCCGTGTAGTCGTCCTCGTTCGCCGTTGCTAATGTCGTCACTGACAACCCTATCTGCCAGCATTGTCATGGATGATGCATCGGTGAAATCGGTCAGGCTCCCCGGCGTGCCGGTTCCTTGCAAGGTGGAGAACCTTGCCTGGAAGGACCGTTGGCGGAGGCAGCGTGAGCGTGAAGCGGTGGTGAAGGCAGCTATGAAGATGGCCGGTGATGAGGCATGGGCTTTGGCACGAGCGATGTGGTGACACAGGCCAACCTGTCTGTCATGGCCGCGGGGAAAAACAACTTGTCGGGCGAGCGCAACTCCGTTTCGCCCTCCGAGTGGACCGACATCCCGGGTTTGAGCTTTACGGAAGACTCCCCGGACACGACCACGATGGCCAACTCGCTGCAACTCTAAAGGCATCGGGCGACGTCTGACAGTGTCGGGGCATGCCCACATGTTGTTCGACGAAACGCTGGAACAAGACCTGATACAATCTTTGCCTCTTTGGCATTTGCATTTGTAGGTTCATTTGTTGCACATACCATTAGATCAAACTTGTAGGATGATAGTTAAATTATGATGTATATTGTAGGAACTAATTTTGGATAACATGATAAATGGTGGTCAAGAGCCTTTGCAATTTAGCATGGGGGGTATCAATTCCTCAGCATTTCAAGTTGGGCAAACGTAATGCACTAAAAGAAAGAAGGTAGTGAAGCCAAGAGTCCCGGCATTCAACAATTTGAAGATGTTTTGTTGTGTGATAGTTGGTTGAACACTAGTGTGGATCCGATACGTGGAACTGAGCAAAAAGGTGAGAAATATTGAGAAAAAATCACAAACTTTATCATGAGTAAAAACACTATGTGAAACCACACCCAATCAATACCAATCGTGGCCCGTGCTCTCACCAACATAGATGGTCCCTCATCCAAGAGAATGTGAGCAAATTTGTTGGTTTTCTCATACAAGTTATTGGCCGGAACCAAAGCGGCATTAGAGTTCAAACCCATGCAACTTAGGTGGCGGCTTTGTACCATCAAGACGAGAAGAATCCATTCGCGATGTCACATTATTGGATGAAATTGAATGGGAAACCTAAGTGGCAAACTTTCCTCGAGGAGATTAAAAGTATCACGAAGAAGACGAAGAAAACCTATGGGTCTAGCTACGCTCAATCAATTGGATTGGGGGAGAGGAAGAAGAAGAAAATGGTGGGGCAAGCATACAAGCAACCATGATGGCGCGGTATGTGATGGGAAACAAGTGAAAGAAGGAGAGGATCGCCCGTGATGGCGCGGTGAGCAAAATGTCCGCCACTTGGACCAGCATTTTTTTGCCAAGAAGATGAAGAAGGAGGAAAGGTACAAGATGTTCATAGATGCGCAAAAGGAGAAAATGGAGTTCCACCAGGAGAGGTTGCACTTGGAGAATAACAAAATAGAATTGGAGAGGCAAGAGAAGCGGCGATAATGCAAGGAAATTGATCTTGAGAGAGAGAAGTTGAGACTTGCGAGAGAGATGGAGGAGTCGAGGATCATGATGCAGGACATAAACCTCTTGAGCGATGAAGTCAAGAAGTGGCTTCTCCACATGAAGAAGATCATCAATAATCGCAACAATTGACATCTTTGTTCATTTATGTATCGTCTATCTATGTATGAATTGCTGAATTTTATTTTGTCATGTAATGAATTGGCGTTTACTTTGTATCATTCAATTCATGGTTGTAAGGGCATATTTATCTCCAAGATGTTTTGGTGATTGATGGCAATGCTTTTGCGGACTAATCGTGTGCGTTGAGTTCTTTCAGAGATTCATCCTTTGGCACGAGACGATTACCTCCCCTCGGTGTTTTATTCAAGACGGTGTAGCTCCTTCGTTTCTCTGTTGGTGGACTAGTTTCGTAGGAGTCACCGTACTATCAAGAGGGGATCCGCTTTGGTAAGGCTAGAGTGGAATCAACACGTACACATCATTATCACACCCGATGTTTCTTTCCGCTTCATTGGAGCTATCTTTCCTATCTGTGCCTGCCCTGT